GCCTGATGAGGGCAGAGCCCATGAAACAAGTGGGCCTGGAGACCTGGCAGGGCCTGAGGAACACCGAAGCTGGGTTTAAAAGCTGCCCCAGGCTCTCCTCAGCCACAGCCCACATATAGTCACTCTGGCCTCAGTTTTCTCATCTGTGAAGTGGGTGTGAGAATCACCTACTCACAAGAAGGCTGGGAGCCTTCAAGAACTAAAACATGGCAGGTTGAGTGGGGCATGCGAGACCACTCAGGAAATGCCCAGGCAAAGGCTATGATGGACAAGAGCAGCCATCAACTCAGAGGGACCCAGGCAGAAAAGGGACACTGCAGACCAGCCAGTGCCCTGAACCTACCACCCTTGCTCCAGCTCTGGGCACAGGCAGACAGCATGGGCCACTGAGCCAAGAAGCCCGGGCTTGCGTGGGGTTGTAGAGCTCAAGCACACCATACTGTGTGTCCCCGGGGACTCCTTGTGCTCTTGAGGCACCCTAGACCCAGCATCTAGAAGCCCCCTGTCTCTCCCAGTCAGGACTGCCCCCTGAGTGCCCACTTCCTGACCACTCACCTCCACAAACTCCACAGGCTTTGAACAAGCCCTGGAATCCTGTTCTGTGGACCTAAGGGATGGCGAGGCTGGGACACCTGGGCCTGGCAGGGTCAGCAGGTATAGCAGGTCACACCACCCTACAAGGGGGGAGCTGAGAGAAACAGGCATAGGGCAGTGAACTGGCTTTTCCCACCCAGGGATCCAGGGACAGAGCCTTCTACAGGGACCCCTCCTCCCTGAGCCCCAGTCGCCTACAGGCAGCAGAGCAAGACCAGCCCTGAGGCCTTCTCCCCACAGCTCCTTGCCCTCCTACCTTCCTGGAGGGGCCATTGGGGTAGGGTGAGGGGAAGTCAGCCCAGACCTACTCCTGCAGATAAGTAGGGCAGCCCTGTCCTCGGATGCTAACTCCAAACCTTGGCATTCCTCTCCCAGGCTCGACCGAGGGGGACCCATGCCTGTGCACAAAGCCCAGAGTGGGCCACAGTCAGCACCCAGTGGCCACACAGGAGGTCGACTTGGTCTGGTCCACCTTGGGGCTGGTCCCAAGACCATTCCCATGTGGCAGGGTGTCACTGCCCTGGAGGAGTATGTGGAACTGTCCCTTTAGGAACCTGTACAGAGGTCCTCACTGCCCCTTACCGGCCCGCCCCCCCACCCCAACAATAGGACTGCTTTCTTTTCCGTCAATAAAAGGGTCTGAGATAACAATCCAAAAGCTCTGGAGTGGGGAGAGGTTGGCTGCAGAGCAATGACAACTGGAAATGGACCCCAGAGCCTAACAGGCTGGCAGGGTCCTCCCACCCCACTGCCCCGCACTCAGTCCCCAGTAATCACAGTATCAGCCCTGTGGGCCCAGAAATCACAGAACTTGACCCTTCCTGATCACCAGCGGGCTAACATGCCAACCCTCTCACCTCTCCAGGAAGAATGGGGTCCCTGTTCAGAGATGCATCCTCCTGGTCATCTGACTGGCTCCCTGGGCCTGTGGGGCAAAGGCAGCATGGCTGGCTGGGGCAGAAGCTCCTCCTGTGTCCCTCACACACCCAGCTGCTACACTATGGGCTGGGCACTCAATCCAGCCCCTCCACCTACCACAGCTGAGCTCCCTGGGGCCCCAGGTCTTTGGCTTCACCCACCTGCTGTCCCTCAGCAAGTCCTTATGCTCATGCCAGGCCACGTGTTCTTGGTACCTGGTCCCACTAATTCCTCCCAAAAGCCATTGTTAGGGGCAGGCACTATTGTCACTCTAAGGATGAACAGAGACACAGAAAAATGAGGGCCTCCCAGAGGAGCAACACTGGGAAGGCCAGGAAGAGCAAGGCTTGCCGCCACCACCCTGGTAGCAGAAGGACCATGCACCTGGCTCAGGCTCCCTCCCGAGGAGCCAAGAACCTGCAAAACAGAGTTGAACAAAAGGTCACAGATGAGATCATAGTAGTACCAGAAGGTGACTTGTGGGAAGGGGGACCAGAACTGGGGGCACCTGGGCTTTGGGACTTACGCTAAGATCGCTCCCTTCTTAGTTCAAGAAGAAAGGTCCTATGAAGGGATCAGATGTCACAGTGGCCTTCACTGTGCAAGGCCACCTGATCCAGCGGGAGACATGCCACCAGTGTTTTCTGCTTCTACTGTCCCAGGGTAGGTGAGCTCACGTTCTGCCTCTTCTACAAGTGGTCAGACAGTCCTGGCCACCTAGTAGACTGCGCTGTGTGGAGTCCAGTCTCCAAGGAGCCTTCAAAGAGTGAATCTCCTTCCCTAGAGGCCAAGGATTCCCTCCGTAAGTGTATTTTGCATTCTTCACTTGTCTTAATTGGCTTAATTACTAGCTGTGTGCCTTTGGACAAGTTAGCCAACTTCTCTGCTTTGTTTCTCCTTTTGCAGATAGAAATAAAACTATCATCTACCTCATAAGTCTGATGGGAGAATTAAAGGAAACATGGAAAGACAAAGAGCAACACCCAGCCATGTGGCTGTCTCCTACCTCCGAGTAGCCCCTCCCCACTCACTCCGAGGCCAGGATCCTAGTTCCCTTCCGATAGTTTACCTTTTTTTTTTTTGGTGGGGGGGGGGTAGGGGCAGAGGGGAGGAGGGGCTCAGTCCCCAGCAAGTTATGGACCTCCTGGGCTGAGAACATTACTTATAAATGTTCTCAGGAGCCGGGCTTGGGGAGCGCGGGGCGCGGTCCAGTCAACTTTACTGAGCAATGAGTCCTGCGCTGCTGGAGCTCCGGAGTCTGCAGCCTGACCCAGAGACCAAGAACCCGCGCTCTGCCTTCCTAGGGCTCACTGGGAAGGCAAGGAAGACCCCAAACACAGACGGAGTCTACAGGAGTGTAGGTCAAGGACGGACCCCAGAGCAGACCCCCTAGTGTCCTGCTTGTGGGGAGAGTGAGGACCACGGGAGTCCTTTCCGAGCAGCATAGGCTCAGGGCCCTGAGGGCCGGAGGAGGGAAGAAGGAAAGATCGGGAGAGTGTGGCTGCGGGTCTGAGGGCAGGTCATGTAAGTAAAGGTCACCAAGCTCCCCATCCCATGGCACAAGCTCCTCCACTCCAGCCTATGGCTTTGCATCTCCGGGAGCAGAGTCGGATCCCGCCGCGGAGCCCTCTGTGTGGTCCCCAGGCTCTGGGTGCGAGTGGGGCCTCTGCCTGCTCCCAGACCTTCGGCCCTCAGCGGCTCCGCCATCCTCTGCGCCTCCGCCGGCACCCAGAATCTCTGCGTGCTGCGGTAAAGAGAGCGTGAGCGTTGCCCCAGCTCTCCTGCAACCCACATCCAGCGACCCCGCCAGCTAGCCCACGGTGGAGGCGACCCAGGTCTCAGCGTCCAGAACGCCCACGGCTGAGGCCCTCCAATGCCAACCCGGCATTCCGCAGCGACATCTCCAAGGGTGGCCACAGCGCCTTCCCTTTTTCGCATGCCTTTGCCCTCAGGCCAGGAGAGAATCTAACGTCCTCTCTGCACCCTGAGCCCAAGGGAGTTGAGTTCTGAAAACGCAAAATGTTCACGGCTCCAAGCACTGCTGCCAAGTAGGGTCGCACCCTTCTGGGTGCTGTCCCCTGCATCTGTGGTGAGGCCTAGGCGACCAAAGTCGAAGGGAAGGTGAGCAAGGCCAGCGCTCTGCACCACTGGGTCGACCAGGGGTGCGAGGAGGACTGAGCTCGAAGCCTCGGTCGCTTCCCACCCATCACTTGTTTCTAGCGGCTGGAAGAGACTCCTCCGTTGTTCTGAGCCTCGTGAAAGTTCTGCGGGGGCGAAGGGCTTGAGCTTGGTTGGGGCCTGAGAGCCCGAGGGCACCCGCTTCGCGTCTCCGGACTGGACTCTGCCGTCCTGCCTGCGCCCCAACTGGAGCCCGCTCCTCAGTGGTCCTGCTTGCTCAAAACTTGAGGAAACTGAGGGGCTCCATCTAGACTTCGGACGTGCGCTGGCCTGTAGAACATCTAGTCCGAGTCCAAGGTCCCGAGCCTGCCAGGTCCCTGCCGGACCGCCGCACGGATGCGCACGGATCCCTGCGCTGGTCCCGCAGTACAGGGGCGAAACGAGGGGGCCAGCAAGGTTTCAGCACCGCGTGTTCCTAGATGTGGCTGACCCGGGGTCACGGATTCAACCGCAGGACGTGGAACCAACCACTAAATCAGCCTTGGACAGAAGCCCCAGGCAGGGGAAGAGCGACGACTGGGACCGGAGAATCCACGAACAAAATTAGAGAAGTCACCGCTCTCCGATCCTCCCTGGACCCCACCGGGCACCCGGCCTACTCGAGTCCCTGTATTTCTCCAGGCCCAACTGCGGGTGCCCTGTGCGTCCCTGTGGCCAAGCCCCGAAAACTGGGCCTGCTCCAGTCACGTGGCACCACGGCCAAAGCCCCGGCGCTGACCCCGCGGGTAGGGAGGGGCGGGCAGAGGGAGGGAAGGGGCGGCGCGGAGGGGGCGGGGCGGCTGCAGCGCCCGGGATTCCCTGCCGAGACGCTGGGGGGGAGAAGGGGGGCGGGCTCCCAGTCTGCGGCCCTCGGGTAGCCGACCCTCGGCAAGCGCCGTGCCCTCCCACCCTCCAGACCCGCCGGTGAGTGTTCCAACCTGGCCTGCCGCTGTGCGCCCCTCCTCGGCGACCGCTCCCGCCCGGCGGGGCCAAGCTCCCTGCGCCTGCGGACGTTCGGGCCCGATCCTTCCCCAGCCCCCACCACGCCACCGTGGGGCCCTCCGAGGCTCATGCCGTGGAGGAGGTGAGGTCCGAGCTGTGGCTACGTCGCGGGGTACAGCTCAGACCACTGGGGCCGCTACCGCCCTCGCCATTCCTCGCCGTGGGTCCTGGGACCTGCCCTGGCAAATAGCCCCGGCCGAAGAGTGGGCTGCGCGGCCGGAGCGGCAGCACCTGCCCGGTGTAAGCGAGGGCGCTAATGGAGGGTGCCCAGCGGCGGTGATCTCGACGCCGGTCCTTCATTCTCGGCAGGTCGCGACCGCGCCCCGAGGATGTACCAGAACTTGACGCTGGCTCCGAGCCCCAGCCAGGCCACCTACGCCGACTCGAGCGCTTTTCTGCACACTCCAGGCGCTGGCTCCCCGATGTTCGTGCCGCCGGCGCGCCTACCCTCCATGCTGCCCTACCTGCCGGCGTGCGAGCCGGGCCCGCAGCCTCCCGCGTTCGCTGCGCACGCTGGTTGGGCGCAGGCGGCCGCCGCGGACTCTTCAGCCTTTGGCTCCGGCAGCCCGCACCCGCCGGCTGCGCAGCCGCCCGGGGCCACCGCCTTCCCCTTCACGCACAGCCCTCCGGGGTCGGGCAGCGGCGGCAATGCGGGGGGTCGGGACGGCGGCGCCTACCAGGGAGCGCTGCTGTCTCGAGAGCAGTACCCAGCCCCACTCGGGCGGCCTGTGGGCGCCTCGTATCCCACATCCTACCCGGCCTATGTGAGCCCTGACGTGGCCCCGTCCTGGACCCCCGGACCCTTCGATGGCACTGTTCTGCACGGCCTGCAGGGCCGCCCTACCGGCCTCCCAGGTCGCAGGGCCACCTTTGGTGAGTACTTTGACTCCACCGACTTGGGTCTGCGTGCTCGCCGAACCGAACCAGGATCAACCCGTACCCTACGAAATGAGCTCCTACCCCGCAGTCACGATTTCCCCGGCCAGGTCCGATGTGCGGCCCAGAACTGCCTGGGATTGTGAACCCCGCGGAAGGCAGTGCCTCGCCTACCCGCGGTGAAAAACCGTGTCTAGAATTCTTTTTTTTTTTTTTTTTTTAGCATAATAGCAAGAAACTTCATGTTTTTCTGTCTTTCGTTCAAATGAACCCCAAACAACATTCTGGGTTGTGCTAATTTGAAGCATGTCTTTCCTTTTAAGTTTTGGAAGTAATTTTTATGAAGTTCCAAATACCAGGGTTTTCCACAGTCATCACTGTTCTAGACCTTTGCATCCTAACCTGAGATCTGATTTCCATGGCTCCCGGGAGCATAAATTTGGGTAATCGGATTCCAGGCCTGTAAAGCGGGGAATGGTTCTACCCGGTTTCAGAGTATTTCCCGAAGGCCGCGCCTCTGTATTTGCAGCCGCAGGATCCCATCTGGGCCATCCCTCCCGGGACCCTGGAGGCCCCGCCACCCGCCCTGCCCCGCAGTCACCTTTTGGTTCCTGCGGAGCCCCGGGCGCAGCCACGGAGACCCCAAGTCCCGGCCGCCTGGTGCAGCCTAACGCCTGGCGCCCACCCCCAGCCGGGCGATGATTGATCCCCGCCCCGCCCCCACCGGCGCCCCCGCCGCCTGCGCGTCGCCGGCGCCTGGCCTGTCCTGGAGGAAACCCCAGAGCCCCCCACCCACGCGCGCGCACGGTGCCTGCGACGCCGCGCAGTCCGGCTTCTAAGGGAGGACAGGATCTCCAGAGCTCTGTCAACTCACTGCCCCGCCGGTCCAGCCGCTTTGCAGAGGAGGCGCCCAGGAGTTAGTAGGGCCCCGGAGGAAGGCGTTTACAGCAGGATAATGCCCGTTTATCTGCCTCCCTCTGCGGATATAGACGTGCCAGCTTCCCAGATTAAAAATGCAGATGCTTGCATTGGACACTGCTTCAGAGAGGGGCATCCCACGTGTCCCTATGAAGCTCATTATTCACACTCCCACCTTGTAAAATTAAATCTTAGTGAACTTCACTGTGTGCAAAACAAAACTCAAAAAAAAAAAAATAGGACGAGGGATATAAGCAAATACAAATTTTAAAAATAAATTTAAGATAATAAGGGAAGAAAGAAGTCAGCCAGAGTCCTTAGGCTCAAAGGACCCATGTGCTGTTTGCCCCCTCAGTGTCTGACTTCTTGGAGGAGTTCCCTGGCGAGGGCCGAGAGTGCGTCAACTGTGGGGCCCTTTCCACACCACTGTGGCGCCGGGACGGTACTGGCCACTACCTGTGCAACGCATGCGGCCTCTATCACAAGATGAACGGTGTCAACCGGCCGCTAGTGCGGCCCCAGAAACGCCTGGTGAGTGTAGCACGGGAAGTGGAGGGAGGGCCAGGGCCAAGGCTTATGGAGACACCAGGCATGTCAGGGTCCCTAGAGGTGAGGTAGGGGATTGTGTGAGCAGCACGTCTCTTGTCTGGGAGGCAGTGAGACATGGTGGGAGTAGACAGGAGCCAGGCAGGGACTCCTGGTGCAATGCCTGCTCAGCAGCCCTGGGAGAGGCTTGAGCCCCATGGCACTGGCAGGCTACTCAGCACTTGGTGAGACGGGAAAAAGGACCACTCCAGAGTCACCCTTTGATGTGACAGGACGTCCCAGAAGGGCCCACTTTGAGGGGCAAGCTCTCCCCAAATGGGCAGATGAGCACTGTAGCCCATGCCCCTGGGAGTTCAGTCCTGCCCAGAAGCTGTGATGGTGGAGATAGGGTTGCAGCCTGGCCAGGTGTCAGAAGCTCAAGGTGACACTGTGCAGGGAGGACTGGGGGAAGGTAGCTGATGCACAGGTGCTTTGCTGGGGTGTTGAGATCCTAAATGCAATGGACTTTGGGTCTGTGTCTGCCTATTCTTCAGGGGTCCCCAGGAAACCAGGCCTCTGCCTGTTCCTTACCTTGTTGGATAAAACTCATTTTCACTTTCAGTTCCTACTGGTGTGTACCTAAGTACAAGTGGGGGGCTCTGGAGTCCCAGGCAGAGCCAGTCACCAGAAACTGGGAGCAGTGTAAAGAAGTTTGTTCTTTATCGTCTCACAGGCAAACCTTTAAGTTCAAGTTTACAAATGAGAGTTTGGGGTACAAACGTTGTTTGTGGCTTACCTAACATTACGGAGGCTGTGGAGACTCCTGCAAGTTCTAAGTCTGAATTAGGGGTGTTCCTAGGGTGCCAATCCCGTGTAATGGTGTGAGCTTCACCCAGGACCAGCTGTGGGTACTGGCATGTCTGCCCGGTGGGAAGCTGCTGGGGGCTGGCTGCCAGCATTCTGCCTGACAAGGTGATGCCCAGGCCTGCATCAATTGGGCTGTAGCTCTGTGGGGCGCTCAGCTCTGAAACGCATGCGGGGGAACAGCCCAATAGAGCTGGGGGGGAGGGGGGCAGGCGGAATCAGCAGGGCTCCCAGGAAGCCACGCTTCTGTTCCTCTGACCTGGCCTAGGTCCACTCCCCACCCCCATCTCAGCACCCACTTTGCTCTCTGGCTCCTCTGCCCTAGAGGCATGCCCCTCGCCAGGTGTGCTGCCCGGTCTGGTCTCCCTGTGGCCTTCACTGTTGGGGAAACCAAGGTTAATGGCCCAGGTCCCACGGGACTATACCACAAACCTCCCAGCACAGCCTCCCCTAGCCAGCAGAACTGTTCCTTTCTCTACTCTGCCCACTGTCCCCCATGCCAGGCCCTGAACTGAGTACAAGGATGCACAGGTAAACAGACAAAAGCCAAGAGAGAGCCCTCCTGTCTCCTCCAGAGACTTGAGATGCAGGACCTCCCTGCCCCTCCTCTCTGCAGTAAATCTAAGTTGAGACACAGTAACCCATTTTACCTTCACAAGAGCCCAGAGGACAACCCTGACCCAGAGACGCTGAGTGATTTCCTGGGGCACACAACCCACAAGTGGCAGGTTCTGGGTTTTCCCTGCTCTGTCTTCTGGCCCAGGCCATGCCTCATTCAGCTGGGCCCCAGCCTTGGGCCACAGCATCCCAGGGACTCCTAGCACTTTGAGCCTGGCCTTCTCACATGAGAAGTAGGAGATGGATTTGGAACGGCCATGCCCTGTTGTACAGGTTAAAGTCGGTAGAGAGCGTGGCTAGCCTTGGCTGACTCTGGGGACGGTGAGGCTTCTGTTCCCTAGTATGGGGACATGAGCAATCAGCTTTGGGGATACTTCCTGGGTAAAACACACCAGCCTACTTGCCACTCTCCCTGAGGCCACCGGCTCTGGAGAGTAGAGACCATCCAGGCCTGAGCATAGGACATGCCTAGGAAGTGTTTGCCAAGTGGGATCTTCACACACACCCTGTTACCTCTCCCTTCCCCAGAAGGAGCTGGGGGTCTCCCCTGTCTTGCTCCAGGGCTCCCACCATGGCTCAGGGAACCAAGTCCCACCACTTAATCCAGCTGACCCGGCAGAGCCAGGCTTGGTAGAGATGCCCTGAGAGTCTCAGAGCCCTGAGACCACAGCTCCTGGCCATCAGGTCTGGGCTGGTCACCTCCAGACTTAGCCACAGCCTCCCGGCTGTGCCTCACTTTCAGCTGGGGTATGGCCAGAACCCCCGGTGTGGGGTGCTCAGGAGGGGCCTCCCAGGAAGAACTTTTTCTAGATAATTACAAACACCTTAGAAGTGTCACCAAGGATATAGGAAGTGATGAAAAAGCAGCCATGTCTCTGTCCCACCAGGCACCCAAGGTTCCCTGGCTCCCCTGTGTACATCTGTGCCTTAGACCTGGGCCTGGCTGAAGGATCAGCAAGCGGGATCATTACAGTGACCCCCAGCCACTCTCCCTCAGCTCTCCATAGCCCCTCTGCTGTACACACACACACACACACACACACCCCAACCCCACCCCCTTGGCCCGGTATCCACATGTGTGGACGTGGCCAGGGGCTCTGAGCCAACCATGGCCCTGACATCAGAACCCAGGCTGAAGCTTGGAGCCCAGCAGCCAAGTTCAGTGCAGATAGGAAGCCTACTTGCCCAAGGCCCATTCTGGTGCCAGCTCCAAGATGTGGCCAGTGCTGTGTGGGGCCAAGCGTCCTATTCTTTACCAGTGAGTAAGCCTGGCCTTTGATGGGGCTCAGCTT